TGGAAATGATCTTTGTCATGGTCATTTATTACAGTAGCTGCATTGCAGTGCTATGGAGGAGCAGGTAGGGTAGATCTAGATATAGTGTAGATCTAGATATACTGTATAGGAAACTAGTGTTCAAGATATAATGATGTAGAGGGATGGAAAAGACTCGACTGGTCTCTAAGTCACAGTGTGGCCACATTGAAGTTGATAAATAGCATATGAAGGAAATGAAAAATGCAATAAAATATGAAAGGGGAATGGTAAGCCCGTAGGGATTATACAGCACCTGGAGATGTTATGTTAATCAAGGGGAAGCGCTAAACCCGGAGGATTATACAGCGCCTGGGGGGGGATGTGGAAGGCATTCAGGCTTAATTCGGGGAACTGGAGCACAGATCCAATTCCCTAAATCAAGAGCCCCTCACCAACATCAAGGATTATTATTATTATAATCAAGGGGGAAGCGCTAAACCCAGAGGATTATACAGCACCTGGGGGGGGGATATGTGGAAGGCATTCAGGCTTAATTCGGGGAACTGGAGCACAGATCCAATTCCCTAAATCAAGAGCCCCTCACCAACATCAAGGAACCTTCCTTGAGGGGTCAACATCAAGGAACCTTCCTTGAGGGGAGTTCAGTCCAAAGAAAGCGAGATATTGCGTATCACTTACAGACAGAGGTGTTACGTGTCCAAAATGACACTGGCTTCAGTGGGAAATTTAAGAATGCGGGGCATCATAACACAAATATACTTTCATTGTATGATTGTCCGGAAAGTTGTATGGCGATTGCAAGAGAACATAACCAAAGATATGAAATCTGACTGCATTGCGTAGTTCAGAATTATTTAGGGTTGTTTTATTTTATTTTATTATCACACTGGCCGATTCCCACCAAGGCAGGGTGGCCCGAAAAAGAAAAACTTTCACCATCATTCACTCCATCACTGTCTTGCCAGAAAACAATTATTGTTGGAGTGGCCCGGTGGCCTGGTGGCTAAAGCTCCCGCTTCACACACGGAGGGCCCGGGTTCGATTCCCGGCGGGTGGAAACATTTCGACACGTTTCCTTACACCTGGTGTCCTGTTCACCTAGCAGCAAATAGGTACCTGGGTGTTAGTCGACTGGTGTGGGTCGCATCCTGGGGGACAAGATTAAGGACCCCAATGGAAATAAGTTAGACAGTCCTCGATGACGCACTGACTTTCTTGGATTATCCTGGGTGGCTAACCCTCCTGGGTTAAAAATCCGAACGAAATCTTATCTTATCTTGACAATTATTATTATAATCAAAAAGAAGCGCTAAGCCACAAGGGCTATACAGTGGGGTTGTTGACAAATACAGGGGAAAAACTGAAAATCAACATGTGCATCTCTCCTCATTATTATTATTATAATCAAGGGGGAAGCGCTAAACCCGGAGGATTATACAGCGCCTGGGAGGGGGGGGATGTGGAAGGCATTCAGGCTTAATTCGGGGAACTGGAGCACAGATCCAATTCCCTAAATCAAGAGCCCCTCACCAACATCAAGGAACCTTCCTTGAGGGGCATCTCTCCTCAATGCCTCCTGTAAAATTGACATGATTACTCCTAGTAATACTGATGTAGAGATAAATAAGGAAAGGGACAAGGTACTGACTAGTGGTTGGTAAAAGCATATTATTATTATAATCAAAAAGAAGCGCTAAGCCACAATGACTATACAGCAAAAGCATGATAATAAGGGATTGGAGTGATACAGGATTGTGTCAAGAGGAATTATGTGTATCGATTGTAGGGAATGGTAATTATTATATAACTAATTATTATTATTATAATCAAGGGGGAAGCGCTAAACCCGGAGGATTATACAGCGCCTGGGGGGGGATGTGGAAGGTATTCAGGCTTAATTCGGGGAAGTGGAGCACAGATCCAATTCCCTAAATCAAGAGCCCCTCACCAACATCAAGGAACCTTCCTTGAGGGGATTATATAACTAAGCACTAAACCCATTAGGGTCTTTCAGTAGGGAATGGTAATGAATGGAGAACAGTCATCAGGCTGGGATAATATATGATGTCCTGAGAGATTTCCCATTTGTATTAGGACCTACCGAGATCCATTTCTGATTATCTCTTCAAGATGTCCCATTATGGCTTAATGTGTCTGGAGACAGGGAGGTGGAAGGCAATGATGTAGTCCTGGAGATAGGGAAGTGGAAGGCAATGTAGTGTGTGGGACAGCTGAGGAAAGTATATTATTATTACAGTGTAAACCCACTACGGTTAAACAGCTGAGGAAAGCGTAATGTAAGTTTGTGGCTGACAGGACAAGATGGAGAATTATTACAATCATGGGGGGAAGGCGCTAAACCGTAGGCTTATACAGCACCTGTAGGGATATGGAAAGCATTCAGGCTCAGTTCAGGGAAATGGAGCACAGATCCAATTCCCTAGATCAAGAGCCCCTCACCAGCGTCAAGGAACCTCCCTTGAGGGAGGGGGGGGAGGGTAAAGAGAAGTTATGCTTACGGGAAGGATTATTATTATATATATTCCTGGGGGAATTGGAAGGCATCGAGACTTGATTCAAGGAACAGACACAGGGAGGATAAAGTATAGGGGTGTATCTAGCTTTGCGGTAGGTAGAGCTTTAGCTAGTTGGTCATTGAATGTGGTTGGTGAAGGGATGGTAATGTTGTAGCAAGGTCTCGAAGTGAAAGTTGTTTGGAGGTTTTTGGGGTTGTGGACAGCTGGATAAAACTGTAGGCTGCTGGGCAGTGAAGATAACATGTTAACTGTTAAATATGATCATACTCATGGGAAATGCTAGGACCATAATAATAATATAATCAAGTGCTAAACCCTAAGAGGTCATAGTGCACTCTAGGGTCATAAGAATCATTTAATCTGGGAAAATGGAAGATAATTCAGTTCAGCCCAATTACTTGGGTCGAGCCTCCCCCTCATTAGTATTATTATTATTATAATCAAAAAGAAGCGCTAAGCCACAAGGGCTATACAGCATCCCCCTCCTTAACTAGTACAGGAAATCTCCTTTGAAGAGGACGTGGTGAAGAGGTGTGGAAAAAGTATTGAGGGCACAATAGGGCATACAGGGTGGATCTGAAGTAGGTGCATGGTATCCTCCTCCTCCTCCATTGCAATCACAATTGGGCTATGGCCTGATTGTATGATTAACATTTAACACACTGTACTACGCTTCTCAAAGGTTGTTACATCACGAAATATTTTGATTGAATATTCGCCTTGTGATCTGTAATAGTTTGCCAGGTAGCTGCAGCACCAGCATTTGGGGCATTGCAGTGGTTTGAGATCCATGTGGGCACTAAGCTCACAGGAAATTTTTGGCATTCAAATGTTAGTTTAGCTACACTGGTTAGATAATGGCTCCATCCATGAACAGGGATCACAAGTTTTGACCTTTAAGTAAGTATGTTTATTCAGGTATACACAATTATTATTATAGATTATCATACATAGCAGCATTTGTGTAGAGAACAGTGACTGAGAGGTATTCATTTTCAGATAATTATAATTATTACATTTGTGGGGAGGTACTAAACCCAAAAGTTTGCCGACTGGATCCAAAGGCAACCTCCAGTATTATTACTTTCATGTTACCCCTCAAGGAAGGTTCCTTGATGCTGGTAAGGGGCTCTGAATGCAAGGAAATTGGACCTGCTGTTCCTTGGATTAAACCCAAATGCCTACCATTCTTCCCAGATGCTATATGACCCCTACAGGTCTAGCACTCCCAAGAATGTAATATATTCTAGCAAGAATGCTAGAAAAGGGCCAGTGTTGCCTTTCCTCATGTCTAATAGCCGAATTTCACAAATTGTTACAATTAAAAGAAGCGCTAAACCGTAAGGGTTATAAAGCGCTTTCACAAAAATGGGAAAAACACCCTCTAATGAGGCCAACAGGAGAGGCAGGGAATACCTTTACCAGTGACCATTGTGTTCTTAATAAAATAAAGCCCAACATACAAAGTAAAATAATGAAAACTACTGGTGAAACACAATTCCAGAGCTTTTTTTTTTAAGACACGTCACCTCTGGACAGGCTGCCGATACTTCGACTAATTTTGCCCATAGTTTTAATTATAATTCACCCAAGTGCTAAACTCGCTGGGGTTCTACAGTGCTGACTCATAGGTGAAGTTCAACATTTCTTTGCAACTGTCTTTTTCACCACTTTTCTCCAATGAAAACTATTAGCACAAATAAAATACAATTATAATAAAAAAGAAGTGCTAAGCCACAAGGGCTATACAGTGCTAATAAAATACAAATGCTATTAAACCAAGTTCAATTTAAGGGAAAATGCTAAAACTCCCAAGTCACAGCCAAAGAAAATTGGTTGCAATTGTGTTCATCATGATTCTATCTCATTTCCCCACTGTATAACCCTTATGGGTTTAGTGCTTTTCCCTGAATATATTTTACAAAAATAATGTGTGGTTATTCATGGTATATTTTTCATTTATTAATTTTACCTTGGATGTTGTTAGATATAACTTTTTTCATTGCCAAAAACAATTACTGGTCACTCAGGTCTAAGCACTTGAGACTTCAACCTAAGATTAAATCCAAATACAGTACCTCCCATGTTGGCCTCATTTGAGAAGATATTTTTCCTTATGTGAAATCCAGCTCCTTGATGAGAAGGAAGTTACTATTCCGCCTTGTTGTAACATTGTCCTTTGGTGATGGTTGGAATAACTGGATTATCTTAGTGCATAACAGGCAACAATAATCTACATCAGTTAACAATCGAGTGGGATTTTTTTTTTTTTAAGACACTGCAAGTCCCTGAGATTCTTTTCAAGCACCCTGATTTATTATAAAAACCATGACATCAGCAAAAGAGCCCAAGTCATAAGTTAACAGGTTACTACAGTTAAATTCCTAAAAAGCAAGAGACCCTTATATAAAAGGGTTTACTTTAGTTAAGAACAGGCAACTTTCTCCCATAATATAAAATACTAATGGGAAAATCATAAGCTTCTCGGAATCAACAGAATTTATTAATGTAAATAGTCTATCAAATAGTGCTGCAAAGCTTAAGATATTTTCTTTTTCAAGAGAGATGGATGGATGCAGTTGCCTACAGCATAAACTGAAAACACAAAATATGCCACTTATTTCTTTAACATAAATCACACTGATTTCAACACTGTCAGAATTTTCTTGGGAAAAATGCATCAAAACTGTCTCCTTAGATTTTATCACATGGTTAGGTCCATGATGGCATTGACTATATCATTACTATTCTTCTTAAGGGCTCTAACAGCCTTAGCTCGAGAAACATTGGCTTGAGAAACAACAAGTTCAATATCTTTCTCTTCCAGTCCAACCTCATCAACTTCCTCATCATCCTCTTCTTCATCCTCCTGTATAGCAGCAGGAACCTGAAAATGTGTTAATAAACATTAATATTTACCAATAAGAACTTGTTTTGTATTAATTTTCCCCATCGAACACAGAGCAACACAAAAATAACCAGTCGCCATCAAGTATATGTATTACCTAGCTTTCTCCAGACTAACTCCATTATTCTCCCACCTCCATGATGCCTAGCTAACATTCTCCCAAAATCCCTTCATAAATATTATCACTACAACAGTATTGTCAAATACTATCACTTGCATTCACTCTCATACTCAAATGCCCATGATATTTTTCAATATCTCCACGTTCATTGCATATTTTTTCCATTCACCCCAGATTTATAGACTTTCCATATCTTGCTCCATGACCAAAACCTACATTTCATGGTTCAAATGAACTTCAGAGTTCTTAAGCTCTGCTTGATGTTCAAACAAGATGTTGATATTGAAACTTCTATTGCCTCAAACCTTGTTGCAACCCTTACAAGCATTGGTACTCCATTTCTTATTACCCCCCCCCCCTCCCAACCCATTTTTGTTTTAATAAAGTAATTCTTTAATGCCCTTGCAACTTCCATGATTTACCTCATCTTTTATCAGTCAACCCTTGCTTAATGACCTAGGCAAATACTGGACAAAAAGTCAAGTAAACTGCATAAATATGAAATCTATTAACTTTCCCACAAACAGACTTTTAGTGATTTTTGTAAATATAGCACCACCACATTTTAAATGATGGTGCTGGCAAACCATGCACACAAGTCTTACTTCACCCATGCAAATAGGATCCACTGCATCCACATTATTTTTCCACTTTAATAAATACTCATTTGTGATATATTCTCATTTAGTAGATTCATATTTCTATGGTACTATTGGTTAAGAAATAAAAAATTCACATATGATTGTTCAAGGAAAATAATCACTATTTTCTTTGATAAAATAAACTGACAAATACGAAAATATTCAGTGACATGGTCTAATGAACAAACTACAGGTGTAAACACGACCTCCTTTGTCAAACTTTGCCCCATGGAATGAGGTCGCACGAGCATAAAGCTGGTTTTTTATTGGTATTCAAAATTATATTTATTAATTGGGAGGCAACTGTCCCTATTCATTAACACATTCTCTTCCAACTATCCAATTACATTCAATGGACACACAAAATGGGACCACTAGGACACGTTTGCTGGAAACTTTTCAGTTCTGGGACTCTGGTTATTCATCTGGAGTGAAGATTCCAGGACCAAAATATTTCCAATCAGCATGTCCTGGTAACTGCACATTATGCATTTGCTACTTTTCAGTATTGCATGTTCATGTTCAATTAAGTTCACTTCATCCATACCCCATCCTGCCATGCAGTCTGACATTCAATCATTCCCTGTGTATTTTATTATTCTTTCTTATCAATTTGCACTTCTCTGCATTCACTTTTCAACTTTTTCTATGCACCCTACTGAACAACAACTTTCTCAGCTATAGCCAAGAAGCACTGCAAGAACAAACTCTTTGCAATAATTTCTAGGACTGTAAAAAAAACATACCATTCATTTAAGTATTAAAAATAAAATTTCACATTTTTAATTGCACCCATTACTAAATATACACCCTTACCCTATATCTTATATATAAACCTGTCTTTATTAGTGTATGATAAATTCCATATTTAAAATTTAGTAAAATAACTTTAGATATTTAGCAATAGTAGTCGTCTAAATACGGATTGTCACCTTATGGGCATGAGGCTGTTAGCTAAGGCATCCCTATCAGTGGTAATTAATTGCCAGTCTTGAGTCTAATACATATTCTTCCTAATTTGCAAATTTTACAAAGGCTCCATAGTTGGAAATTTGAGCATTTCTTTCACATCACATTGTAACAACAGAACTCTATCCCTGAATATTTTTTTCTAATTTTTACTTTCACTATTCTTTAAATTGCACTGATACAGCAGCTTAACCATCTCGTATCACTTACTATACATCTTGTCGGTATTGTATACCATTCTTGTACAACTTGTCAGACACTGCAACTTCTTGGTTCAGAGGACATTCCCCTGACCTTCATGGCTACTACAACTTGCCCATCTCTTTGGGTATGACCTACTTCCACTGGGAAATCCCGCCTACCAGTGACTATACTCTCGTCTGCTACCCGTCCCATTCCACTTGTCATGAGCATGTAAGTGCCAGCCTCCTTGCCTGTGCTCCAGAATCTTCACAACTACAGTGCTCTTCACACCAACTCCAAGGCTGAGGGACTGATTACCTCTTCTTATGTATATAGTTCTACTGTCTTCAAATTGTCTTAGAATCTTTACTGATAAAGCCACTGGATGGCAAAACGTCTACGTCTACAATAATGATACCCAGATGTTGCACACGTGTCTCAATTTTCATCATCTCGGTATTGTACACCATTCTTCTATAACTATACTACCTATAATCTCAAAATTTGCTAAATATATATTTTTTTATTATTGATATGCATTGTCACCCTACTAAACAGCTATCCAGGTGTAAAATTTATATATGTTATGTAATATTTTCTACCCAACAAGTAATTCAACAATAGTCATCTTCCAATAAGATTGAAAGATGACAGTGCATTATTCCCTACTTACCGTGGTGTGTGAAGCAGTATCAGCTGCTGGGTTCACAGATGGCTCTTTAAATTTCTCAGCAGCAGCCATCTGGGCTTGCTGACTCATATCTTCAATCTGTAAAATTTAATGTGTATGAAGCAATTAACATACATATTTGGAATTCACAGTTTTTCATATCTAAAAAAATTAATGACCTTAATCTTTTGCCAGTAAACAGAAGTTTACTGGCAAAAGTTTAATTTAGGACAGTAAATCAATCTTTTATTTTAATATTAGTACACATCTTTAGAACTATCTAAAATTTTTTTTAATTATTTTTATGAATCATTGCTCTCGTGCTTATACTGCAATTCTTGGATTACATCTACACAGAAAATCTTTTAAAAGCTAGATCAAATACAAGCAAATTTCCTCCATTCATAATTGCAGTACTGAACTTGTACATCTAAGCCTGGTGCATTTATCCCTTCAGACCAGTCTCAGACCAGGCCTCCTAAATTGTAACAGAAATACAAGAATAAGAACTATTATGAAATGCAGTGGAAAGTAAAGTATATACTGAATTCCATCAGTTAGTAAGTCAGCTACCATTTTGTGTTTTCCACCGTAGATCATATGACTAGGACCCGCATCAGGAAGCACTTGTCCTATTTCCCGACAAACCTTACTTAACCTCGTGTTTATGAGACAACCAACAAGCCTGCCAGAGCACAAAACTTTCAACAAGCATCCATTTCACACTCATATGACAGGATAGTTTTACCTCTGGATGGTTGTTGTCTATTAACCAACAGCCTTCTAGAAATCTCTATTATTCTGAAACTAAGTACAATATTAAAGTAGGCCTAACACTGTAAACTCCTTTTGAGACCAATGTTTGCTGTTCTCTAAAAACTCAATCCTATAATGGCATGTATATAACTCAGTTTTACGATTCACTTGCCACGAGTTCAAACCCCACCCATTCTATGGTTTGTTGGCATGTATATTAGATAGATAGTATTAGATAGACAGGTTTTCTGTAACAATACTGAACCACGCTATGAAGGTCTGATGTAAAAAAATTAAAATAATTTTATACAGTATGAAGAAAGTATTCAAGGCATTCTTAATGGGTAAAAAAGAAAAGATAAATAGTTCCTTCAAAAGAACATACAGATGACCCTCGAACAACACAGGTTTGAACTGCATGGGTCCACTTTTACGTGATTTTTTTTTTTTTTTGGGGTGGGGGGGGGGGGGGGGGGATTTGCAATCGAAAAAATTAAGAAAAAGGTATAACATGAATGCATAAAATATATGTAGCTACTAGTCTATGTTATCATTTGCTACCATAAAATTTTCAAAAATGTATTACAAAAAGTGGAGAAACGTAATGTACATTATTTAAATATGCATTAAATAAAAAATATGAATTTCTTTTTCACATTAACTTTTCATTTTTTTTTTTTAATAAGTCGGCCGTCTCCCACCAAGGCAGGGCGACCCCAAAAAGAAAATACTTTCATCATCAGTCAACACTTTCACCTCACTCACACATAATTACTGTTTTTGCAGAGGTGCTCATAACACAACAGTTCAGAAGCATATACATATAAAGATACACAACATATCCCTCCAAACTGCTAATATCCCAAACCCCTCCTTTAGAGTGCAGGCATTGTACTTCCCATTTACAGGACTCAAGCCCAGCTATAAAAAAAATAACTGGTTTCCCTGAATCCCTTCACTAAATATTACCCTGCTCACACTCAACAGATCGTCAGGTCCCAAATACCACTCGTCTCCATTCGCTCCTATCAAACATGCTCATGCACGCCTGCTGGAAGTCCAAGCCCCTCGCCCACAAAACCTCCCTTACCCCTTCCTTCCAACCTTTTCGAGGACGACCCCTACCCCGCCTTCCTTCCCCTACAGATTTATACGCTCTCCATGTCATTCTACTTTGATCCATTCTCTCTAAGTGACCAAATCACCTTAACAACCCCTCTCCAGCCCTCTGACTAATACTTTTATTAACTCCACACCTTCTCCTAATTTCCACACTCCGAAATTTCTGCATAATATTTACACCACACAATGCCCTTAGACAGGACATCTCCACTGCCTCCTCGCTGCTGCATTCACAACCCAAGCTTCACACCCATATAAGAATGTTGGTACTACTATACTTTCATACATTCCCTTCTTTGCCTCCATAGATAACGTTTTTTGTCTCCACGTATACCTCAACGCACCACTCGCCTTTTTTCCCTCATCAATTCTATGATTAACTTCATCCCTCATAAATCCATCCACTGACACGTCAACTCCCAAGTACAGTGGACCCCTGAGTTTCGGCAGCATCGACTTTCATGAAATTCGACTTTCGGCAAAATTTGGCCTCGAGTTTTGTGATTTGGCGACCGTCCGGTACCCGTCCACCCGTCACCGCGCACACAAAGCCAGTATCACATGCCATTCACGCTCAGTGTGCCATTGTTTACCAACACGTGACCATCACCCCGCGGGTTCATACGTAATAATCCATTGTTTTTTGTGATTGCAACTGCTAAATAAGTCACCATGGGCCCAAGGAAAGTTAGTGCAAGCCCTTTGGTAAGGAAAGCGAAGAACACGACCCAGAGGGATTTTGAAAGGTTTGAGGCAGACCCTGACCCTGCCGACTCTCTGCCTGTTGTGGAAGGTGTTGTGGCATTGGGCAAGTCCATGGGGTTGGAGTTGAGTGACAGGGATGTGGAAGAGTTGGTGGAGGACCACAGGGAAGAGGTAACCACTGACGAACTGCAAGAGCTTCAACTGGAACAGCATCAGACCACAGCTGAGGAATTTGCTTCAGAGGAGGAGGAAAAGAGTGAAGGAGGTGCCTTCTTCAGTGATTAAGGACATGTGTTCAAAGTGGAATGAGTTGCAAAGTTTTGTTGAAAAGTATCACCCTGACCAAGCTGAAATAAGCCATATCTGCAACATGTTCAGTGACAAAACCTTGTCCCACTTCATGAAAATCATAAAGAAATGCCAGACACAGACCTCTCTGGACAGATATTTTGTGCGACAGGGGTCCAGTGACTCTCAAGTTGTTCCCGGTGGCATTAAAAGAAGGGAAGTAACCCCAGAAAAGGACTTGCTACCTGAAGTCCTAATGGGAGGAGATTCTCCTTCCAAACAATAGTGTACACCTTCCTCCTATCCCCTCCTCCCGTCTTCCATCCGCCCAGAAGTCTTCAGTAAAGGTAAGTGTAATGTTATTATTTTTTATATGCATGTACTACTTGATTTCTGATTTTCAGTATGTAAATCTTTATTTAATTTGAAAAAAAAAAAAAAGTTATTTTAATATTTTTGGGTGCCTGGAATGGATTAATTTTATTTCCATTACAGTGGACCCTCGCCTAACGAACGCATCGCATAACGTTAAATCTGCCTAGCGATACATTTTAAACGCCCAAAAATTTTGCCTCGGCTAGTGCTAAAAAACTCAATCAACGCGATTCGTTCGAGACGCGTCCACCTGCGGCCTGAGCCCGCCTCACTTGTTCCGTGGGTGCCAGTGTTTACAAGCCAGCCACCACAGTCGCTTCCAAGCATACAATCGGAACATTTCATATTATCACAGCCTTTCTAGGATTGCACCTGCTAAATAAGTCCCATGGGCCCCAAGAAAGCTTCTAGTGTCACCCTGACAGAAAAGGGTGAGAATGACTTTTGGATTATGAAGAAAGAGACATTGTAAGTAGAAAGTGAGAGAGAGTGTCTCCGGGCTGCCAGGTTGCTACACAAAACCCCAATCAAACCATCGGCTACTATGGTGGCCAGAAAACGGTAATCAGGAAGCTGTTCTTGCCAAGGTTTGCAAACTTTGTTTTCGAAACAGAGATGGCAAGTGATAGATGATGTTGAGGATGATAATTGGTGTGGATAAATGAAAAACAGTTAGCAGAAGATAGCATCTATCAAGTGAATCTACGTGAAAGGCTAAGAAGTGCAGGTTGCATGAGGATTTAATTAGAAAAAATTCCTGCAACTAGTGATTTGAGTGGAATGTAAGGCCGCAAAGGTGGTTTGAGAGATTTAAGAATCGTTGTGGCATACATAGTGTGACAAGGCATGTTGCGGCTGCCCAGTTCGGACCACAAAGCGGCTGGGAAAAATATGTGCGGAATTCAAGGGAGTACATATGACAGTGACGGACTGGAAACTGAACAAGTGTTAATTGGTGTGACGAAACAGGCTGTTTTGGAAGAAAATGCCAAGCAGGACCTACCATTATCAGGAGGAAAAGGCACTCTCATGGAACATTTTTTTTTAAGCAATGAAAGGACAGGCTTAACTTGTTGATGTGTGTTAATGCTAGTGGTGATTGCTTTATTGGTGTATCATCTGAAACTTCCAGTGTGTTCAGGAAAAAAAACAATGGTCCTCAAGGCTAATTTGTGTGTGCTGTGGAGGGCAAAACAGTAAGGCATGGGTCACTAGGGACTTTTTCTATGGGACTGGGTAACCATGCATTTGCCCCCCACTGTGAAAAATTAACCTAATTGAAAGAATATTAGACCTTTAAGTGCCTCCTGGTATTAGCAACAATGTCCTGGGTCATCCTTCAGATGGGCAGAGCGTCTTTCTGAGGATGAGCTCATTAAGGTCAAGTTTTTTGCCTCTAATACATCTTCTCCTGCAGCCCATGGACCAGAGGTCATCTCCAACTTCAAGAAACTGTACACATAAAGCTATGTTTGAAAGGTGCTTTGTAGTGACCTCAGAAAATCCAATTGACTCTAAGAGAGTTTGGAGACGATCACTCTTTCGCATCCTCAATTGTGTAAACATTATAGGTTAAGGCTTGGGAGGAAGTGACTAGAGGACCTTGAACTCTGGCTTGAGAAAACTGTGGCCAGAATGTGTGACAAAAGGGATTTTTGAAGGGTTGAAGTAACCTGGCGAATCTATGCCAGTTGAGGAATCCATTGTGGCATTGGGGAGATCCTTGGGTTGGAGGTTAGTGGGGAGGATGTGGAAGAGTTGGTGGAGGAGGACAATGATTGAAACTAACCACGATGAGCTGCTGGATCATCTTCAACACGTGCAAGGAGGCTAGATCTGAGGGAAACTGCTCC